TCTTTCCCTTACGTTATTCTTCTTGCTTTCCCTTGTGCTTTTTTCCAAGGAGTCAGGAGGAATATATGGGCGCTAAAGTCTTTTTCATGTGGAACAGTCCTCTTCATATTGTAAATACAGACCAGTAGAGGCCACTTTTTTCATCTTGCTTGGGTTATTCTATATTTCTTGCATAATCTGAGGATAAAAGAGCCCTCTAAGGTGTGGACCCATATACAGCAATGATGAAAGTAAACAACCATAAACAAAAACTGTATACTTGTAAACAGTTTTTGTTTACATCACTGTAAACTTGTACAGTTTTTGGTTTTGTTAACAAAAGTTGAACAACCATAAGCACCTTGTTCTGCCAGGCAGCTTAAAGCCATGTTTGACAAAGTAATGAGGGCTCATTTCAGCTGGGGCTTTGGGAACACCAGGGTGTGTATTTTAGGAAAGCTTGACAGCCATACCTGTCTGAATAATTATCAGTTGTGTTCTACAAAACTTCAAAAAGCTTTCATCTATTAAATGATTTATTAATAGTTAATGATTTTCTGATGAAGTTTATGACATGCTGCTTGTCACAATATTGCTTTTGGATCTCAGAAATGGAGGCTATCACCAGTAATGAGTTTTAATTTGTCCTTTTTTCATACTTGAGAAAGACAAGTGCTTTTTCTGCCCCCTGCACTCACTGTTGGGGGGGGGGATTTTTTGTTGTTATATTTGGGTTTTTTTGTGTTTTGTCTAGCATTTTTGGAGGGAGGTTTGTTGTTTGGTTGGGTTTTTTTTTTCTTAAATACAATAGTGTTCCTAGCATCCCCAAATGAAGCATGGAGAGTTAATTGTGAAAATTTTCTTCCACTCAGCGACTTGCACCAGTTTGGAGGCTTGTGAAAAGTTCAGCAGCTGGAAGCAAACATTCAGAAAGCCTGTTATGACCATGTTTTGTGGTTACTGTTACTTTAAGAGCACGTTAACTGTTGATCCAGCTTGAACATGGCAACTCCCTTTTGACAGAATGGGTGGTTCCATTTGAATCTTTCTCAAGAAGAAATATCATGTTCCCACCAAGTGGCACAGTATTCATCAGTCCCTTGGCATTTTCAGGGATGGGGGGGGGTTGCCTCTTCCCTTGCTTCTTAGTTATTTGATCTTAATCTGTGGCTAAATCTGGAGGATAATAAATGTTGCAGCACTGGGTAGTCCTCAGACCTCTTTCCAGTGTTTTTAAGATGAACCTTTATGACAGCACAACCAGTCTCTTACCATCATTTGTAGTGTCTTAACTTTCTATATGCCATCAGCAAAAGAGGAGAGGAATTTATCCTAACCCAGCCTATTCTGTTTGTTCTGTAGAGGGGCAGACCTTTCCGCTCTAGTGCGTGAGGCTTCAATTTGCGCCTTGAGACAGCAAATGGCCCTGCAGAATACTAAAAGCAAGAAAGGTAAGAAAGCTTTGCAAAAATCTTGACTCAATGGCAAGAAGATAAATGGAATGTGAAGTATTTTAAGGTAGTTCAAGACAGGCATGAAGGTGTGCATGCTGTACGTGAACGATCGTCTGACTTCTGAGCCAACCAAGAATTAAGTCAGGATTCAAGAACACGTAAGCATCTTTGAAGTGTAGATGTAGGGGGGGAGTACAGGGAAAAAATGGTTGTTTTCTAGAAGAATTGATCCTTGTAACCTTAAAAAAAAAAAAAAAAGTTGGTTAGGTGGTAGTTATAAATGGACAGCCTATGTACTAGCCTGCGTATGTCTTTGCCCAATTTCCACATCACTGCCAGAGGCTAATTATACTGACTTGCTTGTGGATTTGAGTACGGCTGTAAGTGCACACGTACTGATGACGTATCTTTGGGGCACGGTCATATTGTGTAACTGCACGTGTGCATCCAGTAGTAATGGTGCTAGGAAAATCCAAGTGCCATTTTTTATCTTGGATGTTTTAGCTCATCAGTGGCTCCTGCCAGGACTTTAACAGGGAGTTATAAATTGTTTTAAGTGTGCTGTCTGCCCTCTCCATCTCTCTCTGTACTTTTAAGTTGTATCTTCCTGTTTTTTCTAATTTTTTTCTGTGCAAATAGGAAAACGTAACTAGAAACTTTTAAATAAAATCTGTGTGTATCTAGGTATTTTTTTCCAGTAATTTTCTTTGTATCTTACACTTAAGTCAAAATGCAAAGCTAAAATAGAATTGTGACTTTTCAGATGATGTCCTTGGAAAATAGACATCAGAGGCATAACGAAAGCCTAAAATAAGAACCATGATGGGAATTTTAATGGCTTTGGATCGTTCTTTTTGATCTGGTCCATACCCAGTCTCATCTGGTTTTTAACAGAGCAGAGCATTAACATTAACAGAGCAGAATGTTTGCATTTCTTGTTCTGAGGAAACCAGCATGTTCATTTAGAAGGGGGGAGGGTGGGAAGAAACAAACTATGAAAACCTTCACTGTTGCAGGACTTGGTTACCCATTTTGCCTCCTGTAGATGGAATAAGCTCTTGATTTGACATAAAAAATTCTGAATTTCTCCTGTTTGTTTTCATAATCATCCAAAATATAGCAGGCTTGATCAAGTTAATCACCTGAAATCAGCCTTTTATCATTGATTTAGCAATATAAATTGTTTTAAATAATAAAACATTCGTACCTGTTTATTCAGACTCAAGGCAAACTGTGTTAGTGCAAGTAGCCAAGGTATAGATTGCCAATCCCCACAGTATCCAGCATTGTGCCTGCTTTTATCACACACAAAGCATGACGTAGCCTAACTTACTTTCAGTGAGAGGTGAACTGCTTTACCTAGCAGTAAGTAAAAGTATGCTTATACCTCGCCACAGCTAACGTCACTCTTTCACCTTGAGTTTTTCTGATAACCTTGTCCTTAATGACACTGATCTTCCTAGCTAATTAATGCTGTTGTTTCCTTTCCCTTTCTTCCCTCCCTATAACTGAAGCTGTATATTGTTTCACAATAACTAGTTACAGGCTTAAAGACAAAAGTGAAAGCACAAGGAAATTGTTATAGCATCATTTTATTATTTTATGGAGGTTTGATGACTCAGTCTTAAAGGAATTTGGTTTCTGTGAAAGACCCAAGTTGAACATTTCTTCTTACTATAGAAGTCATGTTTCCTCAGGGAAATAAGTTAAAATGCTGATGGTTTAGATTTACATCTTTGTTTCTACTGGTGTAACTTCATATGGTAATGGGAGTCTTGAGTAAGACCTTCAGAGAAGCAAGAGGAAGGAGCAGCAAGTTGTACGTTCAGTTCAGTGAACTTTAACCATCATTTTTCCTTTCCAAGCAAGCAGTAATAATTGCAGACTGTTTTGTGCTTTAAAAAGTTTTCATAGTTAATTTAGCGCTTTCCATCTGCTATGTAGCCTTTTTGCTGTATCAGCAGAATATTTTTGTTAAATTCTGACAGCTACATTAATGAGGAGCCTTAAGTGGTTTAACGCCAGCGCAGCCCATTTCGCATTACAGAGCTGTACGCGGAGGGAGCGGCAGTACGTATCCGTGGAAGCCAAGTGTCTTACTGTAGCGCATTAAACAGCGCACCAAATTGACTCTAAAGACATCCCTTTTGTACCTCTGTCATATCTGCTATCTGTGCAGAATGTTGTAATGAATGGATTCTTAAGTCTAGATCAAACAAGGCACTCGCTCGTGAGAGCAGGAGCAGAGGAATCCATGATTTGCCATATGCTTACAGTTTAACATGCTAAAAAAGCGCCTGTTCCAAAGGTTATGATTAGAAATTATTGCTGTGGATAGCTGTATTAAGGTCAAAAAGGGGATTTGCATCAACTTAAAGCTAGGGAGTTGTAAGTGAGAACAGCTTTGCCTTGTCCGGCATTACCCAGAAGTTATAAAGTGAATTACTGAGGAATTGAGCATCATGTAGTAGAATTGCAATGATAACAATGTTTTACAGGTACTTGGTGTGTTATTTAGTAGGGAGGCTTAATATTAAACATGCATAGAAAACAAAGCCCAGAAATGGAAGCAGCAGGATCTGAGGCCTTCAATTCCAGAAGGGTTAAGGGACTTGAATTCTAACTGCGTTTGGTGTAAGCTGCAGTTAACTTGTCATCTTTGAGAATGAAATTCTCCATCTGCAGGTGGAAATATCAATACCTACAAGTAACTTTGTGAAACAAGAAAGTATTCTTTGGCTTAAGGTGCAGGGGATAGAGGGATTAAGATCTAGCCAAAGATCATAGACAGGAGGCTACGTAAAGCAGGAGTTCAGGTGTTCGTAACTCTACTGAATTAGACCTCACCCAACTGACTAGCACATGAAACAAGCTAGGTTTCATGAGTGCTGCCTTCAAATACATGCAAAAAACCCCATGTGATGGTCACTTGCCTGCAGTTGGATTTAGTAATTTATTATGCTTTGTTCTTCAAGGAGAAATCAAGGTTTCCTGTAAACACTTCGAAGAAGCTTTTAGGAAAGTGAAGTCTTCAGTATCAAAAAAGGTAAGATAAGCTTCAAGTACATAAGACACCTTACTCCCCTGAGAGGATGCTCTTTATGCTGGAGGCTGGCAGGAACAGTTAGAGTTGCAGTGTTACTTGCGTGTATTTCAGCGTGACAGAACCGGTCTTTGCATTAAACAAACCTGCTGGTTTTTACAAGTTCAGAAATTGAAGTGTCCTCTCTCGGCTGCAGAGGAGGCATTGCGTGCAGGTGGATTACCATGCTGTCAAGGTTACCTTTCAGTATGGCACCTTGGACTTCTCCTTGACATCCCCAGATTAGTTACTGACCTGGCCCTAACCTCTTGCATCTGGGATTTCCAGGTAAAAGTGAAAGCCTTTAGTGTACCACACCTTCTCCCCTGCCCCAAGATGGATGTGACACCCAAAGATGTTCAACTGTTTCTGTTCGTGTGCGACAGAATTTTGAGACAGGACATAAAACACTCTTCGTGTTAATTATTTGTTATCAGTCTCTTCATTCTATGCATTTGTCAGAAAAGTTTGTTTTAAAGGTTTCCTTATGCCCTGTTCTTCTTAGTGACTGAAAAGCAAGCTGTTCAGCCATTATAATTACATAATTGAGAAGCTAATATCTATAGGAATTGTTATTGCTGCAGAGCTTTGTGTGGCCAAGAGCGTACTGCAGCTAAAATACATTAATATATTCACTTTGAGCACTAACTAGAGACAGGTTAAATCTTTCCTTTGGTTATTATTGTACATGGATGGTCAGTGACCTCTTTCTAAAACTTAAAAACCATCTTTAAATGGTGTTGGTTTCTTCACCTTTGCCAGTACTAAGCAAACACCTCAGAAGCAACACCCACAAAAATGTAAAATGTGTCCTTTAACACAGCCCTCACTGGTTAAGGACATACTCCTCCTGGTTCCCAGGAGTTAACCAGAAGTGTCACTCTGCATCTCCAAGGCAGCTTAAATACCTCCTGTCTTCAATTAACATCTATCTGAAGAATTTTCAGTTAGCATTTGAAATACCTCCAGGAATAGAAGATACCCACCTCCCATTTCCAGGTGCTACTTCCTGTCTGCTAGACAAATGCCATCTGACCTCCTCTACATCCCTTCCTATGAACACTAGAAAAGAAAGACAGCTGCATCTCAACAATATAGTGCTTCTAACTCTTCCTCCCTTACCCAGCTGAGTTCAGTTAACCTGCTTTTGGTTTAACTGGTTGGCTCGAGACAAACCAGGATACCTTGTTCTTAGAGCAGTGGAGAGACATCACCACCCGAAGGCAGTTACTTCAGTGAGGTCTGAGTACCTCCGAGTACTCCATTCTTCAAGTGTCATTTAGAGTGCACAGCAGGAAGGATTAAGGAACAGTTACCATTAAGGAAGTCAGAGTAGCAAAAGGTGATCTTGTCTGTTCCTTTTGGCAGAAGTAGAGGGAGTGAGGTGTCAGTTCGGCAGCCCTGCTGGCAAAGAGGGCAGTAGCTGCTGGGTGAAGCTGTGATCTGAACTTAGCTAGCATGGCAGCCTTAGGTATAACGAACTCTGCAAAGGCTTCTGTTAATCAGATCCTGCTGTCTTTAGTGACAATCGCTGGAGAACCTCACTTACGGTGGTGGTGGCTTTGCCTTAGTTGCTTTTGTTTCTAAGGATTTTTAAGGTTACCTAGTGACTCATAGCTGGTTTGTTTCACTTGTTAAATACCTAGTCGCTTTTAAACGGTGCTTTTACCATTGTCTGAAGTCTTTTTCCTCTCATCTTGACACCACTAGGATCAAATCATGTATGAAGAACTGCGTCAGTCACTGTGCAGGTGATACCTCTGGACAGTTCCCCCAAGAGACTTACTCTGCATTGGTGGAGAGTTGCGTAATACCTGTGCCTGACTTCAAGAGACAGGTCGGAAAAAACCTGTACTACATAGTGCTCAGCTTTTTAAACTGTACCTGAAAGTCGTCATAACCTACTGCTCTGAACCATCCTTAACTTATTTTCAGAATAAAAGATACAACATACACTCCTTGCTTATCACCATGCAAGTTTAACAGTAATGGGTGTAGTGCTGAAGAGCTAATACCGTCCTGATGATGGTAGTTGGTGCCCTTGATCAGAGAACCCTCAGAGGCAGAGAGGTTAAGTCTTCCAAGTGTTTCCATTCCTCAAATAGCTCTTTTCAAAAACAAGGAATCTGGAGGGATCACCAGGAGAACGGAGCTGTGAAAGCAGTCTGGGAAAGTACCGCTCTGCGTGTTGTCGTACCATTACATCACACCTTTCCCAAATACAGTGAGACATGCTGGTTGTGCCAGCACAGGTTCTCAGAGCCTCTAACAGCTTCCCTTCACCTTATCAAGGGAAAGGATCCACAGATGGCAAGCTGTCTTCAAGTTTCCTAGGAGAGAACAACATTTGGAAATCTGCATGTGCTAGGATATGATTTAACAGCCACGTAAGAGACTTGGAAACAGTAAGAGTTGCCTAACAAGCTGGTTCTTAATTTGTGTTTTTTAATATACAGACAAATCTGCAACAACAAAAATTCTGTTACAGATTCAAATTTCTTAGCTCAAATGTTTATATCCTCTGGAGGAAGGAAAATGTTACTGTTTTAAGAAACAGGTGAAGAACCTCAACTTTTTTTTTTTTTTAAATAGAAGAAATTCTGTCTTGGAAAGAGGGTCATAACTTTCAGCAAACTGGGAAGTATTGAGTTAAGACAGAACACTGAAGCATGATAGATACTGAGCAACTGATTTCTGAAACTACAAGTATTCATGGATTGATTTTTTTTTTTTTTTTTTTTAACCTCTATCATCGTTCTACAGAGTTCTTTGATCAAAGTTAGGAACAGAGATTAATGATTAGTCTTACTCTTCCTAAAAGCACTGCAACCGTCAGTCAAGGACCAGAACAAGAATTGGATGCTTTCTGCTGAAAGACTTTCCATGAAATTTGCCAAGTTTAAAAATTATTTTATCAGAGTTCAGGGTCAAGTCATAAAATTTCCATCTAAAGCAGTAAGACAGTGTTTGAAAGCACCATCTATTGTGTAAGCATATCCCCTACTTAGCTGAATATTTAAGAGGGAGGCTGTGACCCTGAACAACCTGACCTAACTTCAAGACTGACCTTGCCGTGAGAGGGAACAGCACCTTACGATTCTTCTCTGAATTGCCATCTCCTAAGAGATCCTGCACATTTTTCCCAAAGGTAAATGTGGAAGGCTTTTCCAAATAACTAATCGCCAGACTTGCCTTTTGACGACTACTGCCACTCACGCAGCTTGTACTTACTCACTTTGCACATGGTATGGTATTTCCTCCCTCTTCTAGGGGAGCCCGAAACTCAGTGACGCAAGTTGTGGCCCATGTGACTATGAAACGAAGGCCCTGCATATAAAGCAGAACATGGTGTGTCTGCTTTAATTGTAAATCAGGCTTGGAGCTTTAGGGATTACTGCGATACCCAGAAATCCAAGATGAAGGATCATTGTTTTATCTCCCAATAGTTCCTCTTGTGAAATTACTGTGAGGCAATGCAGTTAGTACGGATCAGTTAAGTGACTAATTTTAATGTAAAATCATAACTAGGTGTCATGTACAAAGCTGCAAAAGAAACACCTGTGTTGTATAAACTTTTTCCTATTGTAGCTCTCAATCTACAACTAAGGTTTTTCACCACTTAAATAAAAGCTTCATTGGAAGCTACAGCTGTGAAAGGAAGCTGTGAACCCTTTCGGTACAGCACCACGCTCCCCTCACTTGAGTGCTTGGGAGTTGACCAGTAAGAAAACAATCAAGCAGGAGCCCCACAAAAACAGTGTATTCTACCTCAAATGTCCATTTTGACACTCTCAGCCATTTAACTTTCAGATGTGGTAATTCTAAAGGCCAGCACTGTTCTACCTGCCTGTGGCATGCACTGGTTTCAGAACAAATCAGCTACACTGTGTATAAAACCTTGGATCAGGGATTAAAAAAAGTCTCCTAGCTGTGATACAATTTAGAAATATTTGTCACCCTTTCTTGGAAAAAAACAACATGGCAAGCAAGCCAAATCAACTAACCATATGAATGATTTCTCCTTTATGGATATATAGGGGAAAATCCTGCTACTATACTAAAGGACAGCTGCAGCTGATGAGCTTGTGAAGGAGAAGAGTCCACAAGTCCTAGCATATTCTCCCAAGAATTTGCTCTTTCTGTCTTATGACACCATTCCTGCGTGTACATGGAGCAAGGGAGGACTTGCAAGGCAAAACTAAGGAGGAAATACTGTTCAAGTAGTAGTAACAGTATAGTCTGGTGAAGACACAAAGCATGTTTCGTATACAAGGTGTCAGATGATCATCCTCCTCAACATGTGATAGTGGGAGGAGTAAGTGGGATGCAGGAGGGTTTGAATTTACAAGAGAATCTGACTTTGAGAGGCAGAAAAGCCAGGTCAGTCAAGCGTGTATACCCTGTTTGCTTACCGTGTCAGGGCTATGTGTGCGGCAGGGAGCAGACAGGTGGGCAGCTGAACAATTAATGCTCACACAAGAAAGTGCTGCGCACACACTGCTGTTTTCCCTTGTGGGAAACTCTGCTCCGGTAAAATGCAAAATCCCTTGTACACAGAAAATGGGAATCACTTTAAGGAACAAGCCTTTTTATGTAACGTTCTGCATATGCAGCTACTGCCCTCCTAGCAGGTGTGCCTAGGGGAGGTTTTCCCTCTGGTCGTCTTGTTTCTGTTGGGACAAGATCAAGTTGTTCATCATACCATTCTTCTCTCCTGTCTCCCACGCCTTGCCACAAATCTAAATCACAATCACGACGCCGGCCCTCAGAGTATCTATCAGATGCTAACTTCAGCGTGGGTCGGGGGCAGGGGCAGTGCAGGGAACTGCCAAGGGGGAAGAAATATGCTGTCTTCATTCTTGGCTCAGTAGGAACTTTCAACATTTGCGTTCTCACTGAGGTTTGGATCGCACTGCAGGCTTGGTCGTGAAATGGGACTTGGCAGAGAGCTGTGTACAGAGGTTTGCAGGTTGCTACGCTGCAGGCACATCGGGTTTGTCAGGCTGCTTCTGCAGGGTCCTAGGGAACCAATCCTGGCAGACCCCAAAACAGCTCCTGTGCTTTGCAGGGTGCAGGCAATTAATTCAAGTTACAGAGTAACCCTTTCCATAAGCTGGGTCTTAGATCGTTTACGCAAGGTTGCTGCCCAAAAGCGGCTTTCCTCCTGTTTCTCCAACAGGAGTAGCCTGTCAGTCTGCAGTCCATAGCACTGACATTACTGGCTGTTGAACCTCATCGTTAAATAAGGAATGAACAGCTTTACGTTCTACCACAGCATGCCCTTTCATCTGACACCAGAGTGAATGCCAGGAGGCAGAGCTGAACCCCTCAGCTCATTGTGCAACAGCATCCGCTACCTACAACAGCTCCATCTCTCCGCATCTTTGGAGCACGCGTTAGGTGCTTGCTGGCTGCATTTAAAGACCTAACCAGAGAGAATATGAGACACAGAACTGAAGTCTTAACTACTTTTGGACTGACCTCCAATTCCAGGTAGGAAGCCTTGCCCTGGATATGAAAGTACAGAGCTCTGTAGCCAGAAAGATGCATTAACATTTCATGTGTTAATTGGCCGCTGCTGTGGAGCAGACAGGTTCAACAGCAAAGCCAGAATGTAGGAGGCAGGAGTTGTTTTGGAAGAAGGATATACCCACACCCGTCCTGTGGGAAAACTCATACCTAGTATGATCACACCCCAGGATGCATGACTTACTCTGCTCAAGTAGCTTCAAATAATTGTGGGGAAGGGGGCATGTTAAAAGCCACACAAGGCAGTTTATTCTGAAAAGTGCAAGTTGCCCTGAAAGGGGCTTCATTGCTCTGCACAGCTGAACTGCAGCTAAAATAGTCAGATAAGAGTTAGCCCCGCTGACCCCAGGGTCAGCTGTGTTTTGACAGTTGAACTCCTGGCTAATTTCACAGGAAGGAGAGATTTGCCAAACTGCCCAACTAGTAAGATGCTTTATTGCACAGAAAGGCACAAACCCCAACAAGCATGTAGGAAGGACAAAACTAACTCATTCCATCTAAATGGATTTATAAAAAAAACCAACACATAATTAGGTGAAGCATCAGGGTTCTTAATGCCCTTGAGGTTTAATTTGTTCTTCACTGGCTAGTCAAAGCTCCCTCCAGCCTTCAGACAGAGTATTTCAGAAATTACTATCCTAACTTGTTTCTGCCAGATGTACTTTAATAGCATTAATGAAGACTAATTCCTTAAAACCAATAACTAGATAGTTCACCTGTAGTTAAAATTCAAGTGTTTTGATTCTGTGCCTTGCTCTTAACACGTTACAACCGCAGAAAACTAGTTATTCATTTCAAATGCGTCGAGCATGAGCCAAGTAGTCCAGCTGGTCTTAATTCCTTCTACCAGTGGTTCAGAAACACTTCTGGGTTTGGGGTTTTTTTAAGGGATCAAACTACACTGCAATATAGGTTAGCACTCAGATCATCTGCTTCCAGCAAATTCCCTACTACTGAAGTTAGATGCCAAGGCCTCTTGTGTATCAGAGAGGAATTGCACACCTAAGGAGGGTAGTTACCAGTGCTCGCCAGACGATGGTTCACATCCAAACAGAAGTCTCACTGGCAGAGGTTCACCTGGTCCAGTAAGCCTGTGCTTCCTTTCAGACAGATAATGGCAAGCGTAGACATCTCCCACAGTGTTCCCCACTACTCTGCAGCTCTTGAAGTGAAAACAGGAAATGTATAATCTGAGTGGGAAGGGGAGATCGCGGGACACCTTAAAGCAATGTTTGCAATTTTAAACAGGAAGGATGGCAACTTCAGTCCTGTTTAAAAGCAGCTCACATGTGCACTGCCCATTGGGAGCACAGTAAGGGCCATCAGTGATTCTATGAAATAGGTCACTAAGCCAAGTTTGAAAGTTAAACTCTGAGCTTTCAGTTATCCCAGATGAATACTGAAGTTAACCAATATCTCAGGTTTAGCCTTCAGCT